TCTTTCCCCACTATATCTTTTATTTTATCTTCCCAGGTTTCAGGTGGGCGTCCCCTCTTTTTCTTCCACTGGGCCATTCCAAGTAAGGGTCTTTTTGACCCATCTGACATCACAAATGCGGGCAATGTGACCAACCCATTTCCACTTTAACTTTTTCAATGTGTTACGTATTTTATGTTTTTCGTACTACTTAAGGCTTCGTATTACTTTTTTACGTTTTTAACTTTGTCTTTTACTTACTTATTTGTGCAACTCTCAACTGAAATTGTGCGTTCAAACCTTGGCTTGGTTTGTGTGTCACAAAAGACTGATCGCCTAAAGAAACAAGGTCAATTGGATTGGCATTTACAAATGATTGACTAACGGCCAAGATAAAATATGGATCATTGATATTTATAGATTTAATTAAAAATACTGTAACATTTATCAATTTTTCTAACAAGCATTGTATTTTTTATTTTGTTTTATGCCTCTTTTACAATATAGCATTCTACTACATTAATAAGACTTCGAAATTACTACTAAATACTTACAATTGATTATATTATTTTATAGGTACTTGGTATTTAATTTTCATTTGAATATATAGAAAATGTATTATACTACTACTAGTATATACGCAAATATATATATTTTACGTTTTAAGTAATTTTTAATTTCTAGATATAGGTATTTTTACATATTGCAAAATAAGACTTTGTCTCTGAGAGCAGACGAAAGCGGAACTAGCGACGACGTTCAACGTTTGAGAAAATATGACCATGGAAATTTCAAAATTTTACGTTCTAGAAGGAACATTACAGAGCCGCCAGACACAAACCAGAATGGTGCCAGTTGGAGGAGGCCTTTGCCAAATTTATAATATTTATTATATACCGATGTTGACATATTTAATCAATTTTATAACCTTTGAAACAAGTATAAATACATCTCTGTATTAATAGATTTTTATCGATACAGTAACAACACTTTGAACCCTTTATTAGCGCGCCCCTAACGCAGCGCAAACAGCTCGCCACCGAGCATAATTCTGCGGACTTAGAGGCTGAAAGCAAGGATCATTATTTGCTTGTTTCGGATTTAACTAATTATTAACAATGTCACAAGGAAATTGGTTAATTCATAATCACATTTACTTCACAGACGATTTTTTTAAGAGTCACAATTTATTTGTTAAACGGTAGATATTTCTATTTTTAATTAAAAAAGAATTTTCTTCTAACGTAGGTATAGATGTAAAACGACGTTCAGGATTGGTAATAGATACTTTCCGAAAGGCATACTTTAAGGACATCGAATTTGTATGAAAATGGTGACAAAGATTATACCATTTCTATACAAATTTTATATTACATAAGAGTGTTGTGGCATAGTGATTGTCTAAACGCCCAGGACGAAACAGAAAGAGATGAAGAATCTTAGCGGCTTCTTATACTCAAAGGTTTTGCCTATGAGCTGAAACGGCTCTTTAAAGGCCAGTCTTCGTATTTTTTTATGTAATAGGAGGCAAACGAGTAGGGGGCTCACCTGATGTTAAGTGATACCGCCGCCCTTGGACACTCACATTGCCAGAAGGCTCGCAAGTGCGATGCGGCTTTTCAAGAATTGTAAATATACCATTTGAATAGTGAATATTAACCAAAATTATGCATACAGTTTGCTGTGTTTATTACTTATTTACAATCGAATAAAGTCAAAAACAAACATGATTTAATAAAAATATTTACCTCTACTTACGACTAACATGACGCTAATCTTTTAAATATTAAAACATTTATACCGACTCGCTTTTAATCCGAAGTTTAAAAAAAACTTCAATACATCATCCATTGTGGGTCGGAGTTTTAAAATGTTAAGTTTTGTTGTTAAGGGCTCGCCATAAAGGGGTATAAATAATGACGATGCAGGTCTATAGAAAACTAAACGGTTGAAAGGGTGAACTTGAATAAAAATCGATTTGAAATGAGCGAAAAAATGCTCTTAAGCTTTTGTTAGGCCAAGACACCTTTGTAGGGCTACAAAAATAATATTTATAAATATAATTTTGTTTTCAGCGCTGACTTCAGAAAATGTATGGAGCCGGATTTAAGTATATACGAGCTAGGAATAGATATACTGGCAGTAAATGTAAAATTAGAAGCATTAATATGTATTTCTTTAATGACGAATCACAAGTGTACATTGTGTTACCTACGTGAATAAATGATTTTTGAATTTGAATTGAATTTTGACAGGAACAACGGTAGAAGGGAATGGTGTAAATCTCTTTTTTATAGAACATGAGGCTAACGGGCCGTAGGCTCACCTGATGTTAATCCGCCGCCTATGACCACTTACATTGCCAGAAGGCTCGCAAGTGCGTGCGCCGGTCTTTAAGAAACGATACGCTCTTTTATTAAAGGTCCCTAAGTCAAATTGATTCGGATATACTCCAGTGCGCAGTTGGTTCCAGATAGTGGTTGTTCGCGGCAAAACTAACTGAACTAACTTACTTATTTTAAAAAACCCTCAGGTGGAACGACAGACGTGATACGGGTGGAATCTCGTATTCTGCCTCAACGTCTGCTGATGAAACTCAGCTGGAGGTATAAATCTGAAATGTATGATAAAAATGTTGTATGGGATTTTTTCCAGCCACCCAATGGTTAAACTTTAAACGGAGATAACTAAAAATAATAGTAATAATACCTATTATTATATATTGCCTGCATTACTTTTTAATAATAACAAAAAGAAACAAAATTATTGATTCTTTTCACGTTTGTTTATAATATTAGCAATAACTGTTTAATTACTAGATTGCAAAGATCCATACTGGCTAGTATGAATGATGCTTTCTGGTTAAACTCGTAAACTATTTTGTAAGACTCAGCTCATTTAAAAACTTGAGTCAACTAACTTAACCCGACGCACTTAACATGCATGGCTGCACATATTGCACCTTTATCTGGTTTATCTGTACACATCACTATGAAAATGACAGGTGTCAGTTGTCATTCATTTAATAAAGGCCACAGCAAACAGTAGCTATTTATCAATAAATTATTGTAATGGTCATTGTTATATCGTGAGAAACTATTTGAGTATGTCACGTGTTACGATAATAACATATTAATTTTTGCAATATCTATAATAATCTATATTAATAAGTACTTTGATTTCTTCAATGCGTATTATTTTATGGTTGATTTTATGTATTGCAGCTGATATTGGAAATGATTTAATGATGGACTTAATAAATAGCGGCAATAATTTATTCTTAGTTCATACTCTTTTCGTTCTACGTTTCAATTAGCTATTTCATATTTGTTTATAGCTTATAAAAAATATATCTAAAATAATTTAAAAAACGATGAGTTTTTTAGTAAAATGTGTTTTTTTATGACAGTACCTAGCTTTTTAACTTACTACCCTTGTACCATTATATAATTTATCATATTGAGGAAAGTTGCGTTTTATACCACACGCGAGGTAAGAACGCGCACAGTAGGTACTCGTTTTCATATAATAAAATAATACAAAAATATGTCATATAACACGTGCAAAAGCTTCTGTAAATATTTGCAAAATAAACAATTAGAATATAGAAATAATATTCGCATTTATTTGCACAAATGTTCAATTTTGTTCAGTTATCACGTTTCTGGACGTTCGAAAATAATTCCAGCTTACAATAAAATTGATAATATAACTAATCCTTATTTACATAGTTTGTTTGAAGTGGCAGGACTGATAAGGACACAGGTAGAATAAATCCAATACTTTCATTGGGTGAAATTTTTTGTTTGAACTTTACGCCCTCAAGCACGAAGAACACTTTATTTTTTACTAATACAATATTAAATATGACTGAATTAAAAGAGAAAAAATTAATACCAATTGAAATAATTCTTAATAGTTACTAATTCAGACATAAACACAACCTCTTCTGTGCAGCGTTCAATTATATTTCAATATTACTGTCCCCTTCAGATCCATTTGATTAAAAATTACCTAGATGTTGTGTTATTTTCTATGATTTGTGATGATTTCTCGAAAAACTACGAGTTTCATTAACAAAACACCATCAGCAAAAGATGTAAGATATAAAATTTAAATCCATTTTGCCAAAATATACCCAAATGCTTAATGTGTATTTCCAAAATTATATTTTGATATGCATTACTAGTGGACGTAAGTAAGGTGTTGACGTTATTAACGCTATGAGACTAAAAATATTCCTGTGATGCATAGTTGTATTTAAACGTAATTATAGTATTTTAAATAATTAGTGGTTTGATGTTAATATACTTTTTTACAAAATGGTTGCGAAATAATATTGCATGCTAAAACTATACCTACCGTTTCATTTTGCAATCAAATCTCCCGCGAAAAGTTCCCGCGTAATTCACAGAGTATTAAACCTAAAGTTTATAATTGTTTGCTAACTTTACCCATTTTAATTGACTATAATTTATTATAATATATAATGTTATTTACAATCTAAATATAGATCAATTGCATTTATACTACCACAAAGTTTTAAAATGTAGTTTTATTAACGTTCACGAAGGATTTTGTCTAGATTAGCTTTTACCTTTGTATCGAAAACGTCAAACGTAAGCTTTGACAATGACAGCTAAATTACAACAGTCAAAATTCAAATAACAATTAACTACGTATTCGAATTTGGAAATGTCCATAACAATAATTAACAAGTTAATTTCGGTACTTGTTAATTTATTAGCATCAATAGGTGATAAGTAGAAATGAAATGCAAAAAATTTCCGATCCAATATATTTCAAAATAAATATTAGACAGCTAATGTGCTTACAAACCATGCTAAAATGGTCATAGTGTCAATATTATATCATACCCATACTAAAAGATCTCCTTTATCGTCCTTATCTCATAAAAATATTAGGAGCATGATAATATAATATTGAAAATATAATTTCAAAGTGTGTTACGTGAAGCTATGACTAAACTCTGAACAAAATTTGCATATTGATTCTATGTAATGAGTTTATGTGTGAGAAATATATTATTTAATTCGACCAAAGTCCAAAGGTGTTTTATTACAAGATATTCTTCAAAAACTAACATAATGAAGAGGGCTAGTATTGATATGTTTTTACTCATTTTTATTGTAAATTGTGTTGTCATTGTAGTTTTTATTAATTTTTTATTGTTGTAGGAACCATTAGTGATCACTAAAAATGGTGAACTGAGAGGATGTATTAAAAAGCTATTAGATGGCACAGAATATTACAGCTTCAAAGGAATACCGTATGCACAACCACCAGTTGGGAAACTGAGATTTAAGGTAGTTTTTGCTATTATTATCTTAAGATAGATGTTTGTTTGTATGTTTTAAAAATGGATCACATAAGTCATGTTAAATTTTATCAATCTAAACAGCACTGTCAGCTATATTTGTATTGGTTATATTTTGTTTGTTATTTTTTATAAAGTTTAAAAATACTTTATATCGGTTAGACTATGTAGTTTTTAGATATCAACTATTTATTAACATTATATAATTTGGTGTAAATAGGATCATGCTAATATATGAGTTAATTCATAGATTTATTTTGTTAGATAGGCCCCGACACCAAAAACTGTGGAGTGTGGCATTGTTTTTGAATGTGTGCGTTAACAAAATGCCGACACACGCACACTAACGAGTAGTTAAAAAATCGTGTTTTGCCATTGTACTTATCTGTTGTTATTACCTATGTACTGAGAAAATAGTGTCATCTCTTTTTCTCCTACATTAGTTGCAAACACTACTTTCTCTTTCGTGCACTCGCCATTTAAATTTGTTATTTTAGAAAGTGCGGAAGGAAAAATAAAAGTTTTTAAATCAAATCGCAATACTTACGAGTGAAATGTTACACCTCTTTTTTTTTTTTTTTTTTTATAGAACGGGGGGCAAACGGGCAGGAGGCTCACCTGATGTTAAGTGACACCGCCGCCCATGGACACTCTCAATGCCAGAGGGCTCGCGAGTGCGTTGCCGGCCTTTTAAGAATTGGTACGCTCTTTTCTTGAAGGACCCTAAGTCGAATTGGTTCGGAAATACTTCAGTGGGCAGCTGATTCCACATAGTGGTGGTGCGCGGCAAAAACTGCCTTGAAAAACGCTCAGTTGTGGAACGGCGGACGTCGAGGTGATACGGGTGGAATTTCGTATTCTGTCTCGACGGCCGATGATGAAACTCAGCTGCAGGTATTAATCCGAACAACTCCTCTGAACACTCTCCATGGTAAATGCGGTAGAAGATGCAGAGTGACCCCACATCTCTACGCAACGCCAAAGGATCAAGCCGCTCGGAGAGGGATTGGTCGTCGACGATTCGAACCGCTCTGCGTTGTATACGGTCAAGTGGAAGGAGCTGGTACTGGGGAGCCCCCGCCCAGAGGTGAGAGCAGTACACCATGTGGGGCCGAATTTGCGCTTTATATAGTTGCATGCAGTGGCCCGGAGTGAAGTACCGCCTCGCCTTGCTGAGCACACCAAGCTTTTTGGAGGCTAATTTAGCCTTTCCCTCCAAGTGACCGCGAAACTGAACGTCGTTCGATATGTCAACGCCAAGTATTCCAATGCTGGCTGTGGCTTTAAGAAGAGTGTTTTCGAAAAGAGGAGTAGCGACAAAGGTTTCTTGGGGTTAAATTGGACTAGGTTTTGTCTGCCCCAGTCTGAGACTCCACGTAGTAGAGTTTCGACTTCAGACACAAGTTTTTTCCGGTACTCATCAACAACTGCCCGAGAAATACCTGCCCGGCCAGTGTAAAAAGTATCCCCAGTGCTGTCATCCGCATAGCAATGAATGTTGCTAAGTTGCAACATATCATTGATATGCAAAAGAAATAGGGTCGGGGATAGAACACAGCCTTGTGGGACCCCAGCGTTCACAGGTTTAAGGTCGGAACATGCTCCGTCGATGACGACCTTGATGCTCCGATCGGCCAGAAAGCTGGAGATCCAATCGCATAATTTCTCGGGAAGCCCATAGGCTGGAAGCTTCGAGAGCAATGCTCTGTGCCACACCCGATCGAAGGCTTTCGCTATGTCCCGCCAGCGCCTCCCCCTTGGACTCAATTGCCTCTGCCCACCTATGGGTAAGGTATACAAGGAGGTCACCAGCTGAGCGACCACGACGAAAGCCGTACTGAGAATCGCTAATCAACTGGTGGCCCTCTAGATACCACAAGAGCTGGCAATTAATAATGGTTTCCATTATTTTGGAGAACAAGGAGGTTATAGCTATTGGGCGATAGTTGGACGGATCAGAGCGATCGCCTTTTTTAGGGATCGGATGTATCGAAGCGGTCTTCCAGCACTTCGGGACAGTGCCGAGCGAGTACAGGTACCGGAAAAGGCGCGTTAAGACCGGAGCCAACTCAGGAGCACAAGTACGCAGCACAATTGGGGGGATACCATCCGGCCCGTTCGACCTATGAATGTCCAAGGAAGATAGTGCTTTGCGGACAGCACGTTGCCGGAATGTGATTTCCGGCATCGAAGAATCACACCGCGAAATGGTCGGTGGTGATCTTCCCTGGTCATCCAAAGTCGAGTTGGACGCGAAGAGACAGCCCAAAAGGTCGGCCTTCTCCTTCGCAGTGTGGGCCAGAGAGTCATCCTCCCTGTGCAGTGGCGGAATGGCGGGCTGACAAAAATTCCCTTGGACAGCTTTGGCGAGAGACCAGAAGGCTCGAGTCCCTGAAGGGAGCTGGGCCAATCTCTCGCCAAATCTGGCAATGTGCTCTGACTTTGCCTTAGTGATTTCCCGTTTGAAGGACCTGGAGGCTGAGCTATATGCTGTTTTAAGTTCGCTGGTATTGGCATCACGAGATTTCGCCGCTTCCACCCATGCCTTAAAGCATTCTCGCTTTCGACGCGAGGCCGCCTTGCAAGAACGTTTAAACCAGGGCTGAGACTTGCCACCGATCGGCACCGCAGAAAATGGAATAAAGAGTTCCATGCCCTGCAGAACCACTTCGGCGACAGAGGCGGCGACGGAATCTGGAGCTTCAGGCGAAAAGCACATAGGCCCCCAAGGGTAGGACGCAAAGAAAGACCGCATCCCGTCCCAATCTGCTGACTTATAGTGCCAAATACGGCGACAACCCATAAAGCGGGGCCGTGAAGGGCGCGTAGATGGCACAGTACTCCGGACCACACAATGATCCGATGAACCCAATGGCGGGTCAACAGAGACTTGATAGTTCTCCGGATGTGAAGTCAGCAGAAGGTCCAACAAAGAGGGTTTATCACCATCCACATCTGGTATTCGCGTAATCGCAGGGACCATTTGTGTCAGGTCGTAGGCTAAAGCAAAGTCGTGAAAGGATCTTCCCGCGTGATCGGTGGTTTCAGAGCCGAGCCAATCGGCATGGTGGGCGTTAAAATCGCCAAGTATCACGATTTCAGCGGTAGGAACCCTTTCGAGCAGGGAATCTGTAGCCATTTGGATGGTCGGTCAGTTTCGGTATTTCCGCTATGGGACCTATACAGGCATGCGTAGAATCGCGGATGGTCATCGCAGTCTACGCGCAGCCAGAGGTTAGATAGGTCCCTTCTTTCAAGCGTCCCGAGGCGACGAGAACAGATATCCTCTCTGACGTACACGCAAACTCCCGCCCGCGGCACAAATGAATGTTCCAATTTGTACCCCGGGTAGGAGAGGTAGGAAGTATCAGCCGGGGAGGAAATCTGAGTCTCGGTAAGAAAGAGCAAGGCCGGCTTCGCAGTCTCTATCTCACGGCGAGCGTGGACGGGGGTGCCTTTGTTGAATTGCTCCGTTTGCCCCGAGAACGATGACTGTTTTTGTTGAGCGCAGAATTGCCCCCCCCCAGAATACGAAGGGCAGCCTGTGCGTCCACCACCGGGTGCTGAGTGTCCCGGTGTTGGACGCCCAGAGGGGGATTCTCCACCGCGAGCGCGTGTGGTACCCCCCTGGGGTAGATTCTGTTTGTACTGCACCTTCATATTTAATATGGGGGGGATGGGCTCCGGGAGTCTCCCTCACCGTACGAAACGCGAGTACAATAAGGCGAACCTATTGCCTCACTTCACGCCGGTTTTCTAAGAGACAGTGGTACTGCCCCGGTCGTGCCTGCCCATTAGGTTGAAGCCCGAAGGCAACAGCATGGCACTCCCACTAGGACAGACCTCTGGCTTTATTTGTGTTTCTAGAATTGTTGTTGCACTTTAGAAAGGCACACGATGGCATTTTGTGACACTAAACTGCTCGCAAACGTCCTTTACAACACGTCCGGCTAACACTGTGTTTAGGGGTGCACTGATCCCAGGTTAGTGAGCTCACTCACTTCGACTGTGAAACAACACGGCGCGGTCTCACTGCGGTAAGGGCCTATGTAACGATATAAATCTATGAGTTAATTTATATTTCAGGCTCCGTTACCTGCTAAACCCTGGGAAGGTGTGTATGATGCTTTAAAACATGGCCCGATCTCTCCACAATTTGATGCTCAAACACGCCAAGTCAAAGAAGGTAGTGAAGACTGCTTATATCTTAATGTTTACACAAAGTCCATAGAAACCAGTACTAAAGGCCCTGTAATGGTTTTTATCCATGGTGGAGGCTTTATATCTGGTTCAGGCAATACTGATTTGTATGGCCCTGAATTTCTTTTACAGCACAATGTTGTGTTAGTTACTATAAACTATAGATTGGAAGTTTTAGGATTCCTTAACTTAGATATAGCTGAAGTGCCAGGAAATGCTGGTATGAAAGATCAGGTTTTAGCACTGCGCTGGATTCAAGAAAATATTAATGATTTTGGTGGTGATTCTAATAATGTTACAATTTTTGGTGAGAGTGCTGGTGCAGCATCTGTTACGTATCACATGGTATCACCTATGTCCAGGAATTTATTTCACAAAGTGATTGCCCAAAGTGGTGTATGTACAGCAAATTGGGCACAGGGTGTTGATGGAAAGAATAGGGCTTTTAGATTGTGTAAATTATTAGGGAATGAGACTAGAGATCCTAATGAAGCTCTAACATTCTTGCAAAGTGTACCAGCAATTGACTTGGTTGGTAAAACTTTTAAAACAATAACCAGCGATGAAAGACATAGAGGGCTTCCAATGCATTTTTGCCCCAATATTGAAAAGAAATATGGCCATAATGAAGTTTTTTTACCAGAAGATCCAGAACAGGCATTTCTTAATTGTAATTCTGTGAATGTGCCATTAATGATTGGGTATAACTCAAAAGAAGGATTAATTTTAATATCAACAGAATCTAAGAAAATTGAATATAGGAACAAAAATCCATCCTCCTTTGTACCAAGAGAAATATATAATATAGTGAATGACGATAAATTAAAAGAAATAGGGCAGAGAATAAAAGAATTCTACTTTGGAGGTCAAGATATAACAATGGAAGATGCTGAGAAAATCTGCGACTTACAATCAGACTTATATTTTACATACCCAATACATTATTTTATTGAGCTTTATGCGAAGAATACTCTACCAGTGTATATGTATAGCTTTAACTATGATACAGATTTAAACTTTTTTAAAAATTGGATGGGAGCCAGTGACATAAAGGGAGCAGCTCATGTTGATGAATTGTTTTATATATTCTGTTGTGCATTGAATAGAGATTATTATGAGGAAAATGAAATTTTGAGAAGTATTATCAATAATGTAACTAGACTTTGGACAGATTTTGCTAAGAATGGGTAAGATTAAAATACTCTGAATTTTTTCTTTAGTTTGTCTGTGACTTAGTGTTTGTAAGTTCAACCATTATTGTTGATATATAATGTGTATATTTTCTTTTAAATTGATCCTATAATATTTGTAGGAATCGTAGATTGTGTGACTGGTATTTTTGCCCATAAGCTGTTGGTATTGTGTGCTTAAATAAATTATATATGTCATATAAACAAATATAAAATAAAAGGTTCAGGATCTGATTCCCCAAGAAATAATAATTGCTAGTTAGTACACTTACTTTAATTCATAAAAATAAATAAGCAATCTTATTATAGCTCCATAGACACTGTTTTATAAATATCGACAACAACAAAGTCCTGGATGTTTTTTGTTTTCATAAAGTCATTTAATGAACAAGACAAATGCAACTGTTCTTTAAGATTATTTAATTTTAATTTCAGGAACCCAGTATCGAGCAGTGCAATAAATTGGCAGCCATACACTATAAAAAATAAAGAATATCTTAATATTGATAAAAGCATGGCATTTGGAACATATGTGGATCAAAAAAGAATAGAATTTTGGAAGAAAATGTACAAAGAAGCAGGCTTACATAGAACAAGAAGTAATTTGTAGTCTTGCATTAGTATATATTGAACAAACTGTCTATGTATTCAGTATTTAGACAAATTTTACTTAGATTTTAGATTTCCGGTGTTTGGTATTCAGTTGGTTAGTGTAACAGTTTAAGTGACAGTGCCTAGACTTTTTTATACTTTTGTATTTATTAGGAATACTGGTCAGGGTTTATTTGATAATGAGATTTATACATTTGTTATATTTAATTCTAAATATATTTTTATAGTTATGGTTTTTACTTTTTTTCTTCTCAGTCTGCTGTCTCCCGAAATATATGTATTTGCATACCAAAATGCAACATTAAAGATTATTTGTTGTTTTGATTTTAATTTTGTAAATTTGTAGCGTGTGACTCTCAACCCTAGAGTAGTAGGTTCAATCCCCGGCTGTGCGAAAATGGGTATTTGCGTAGTTAATAATTGCTCATTCGGCGAAGGAGTACTACAAGTGTAAGGTCTAAACGGCCTCTGTCTGGCAAAAAAGCGTAACCGAAAAACGGGGTAAAGATTAATAATGTCAATTTTCTTTTAATTATTTAATTAATTTTTAATAAATACAGTGTGAACTCTACATACACTCAAGGGACTGCGCATATTTTGACGTTACAAAGTGTTGTCGTTAAATGAAAAAAAGCAAAATCTGTATTAGAAAAAGTTTATTCAGTCTAGAGTTAATAATTACATTAAAAAAATCTCAGATATTGCGTATAGTCTGTTATTTTCGTATGACGAGAGAGAGTAGTTAGTGAGAGCCACACCAATGTAGTATGTACCTATTGTATACAGGGTGTATTCAGAATTTCAGTACCCTACGAGGCAGTTGTCCTTCAAGCAGTTGATGAGGACCCAAGTTGTTCGGTACGTGGAATTGAGGCCAGCACAGGTGTGCCCAAAAGTACAGCTCACCGAATACTACAAAAAAATGAGTTCCATCCATTTAATCTTATTTAAACCACGCTGTGGTCATTAGGAACGTTTTGGGTGCGCTAGAATCATTTGTTGTAATTTCAAAGAGATTGTTAAAAACAGACTTTGTTTAACAAAAAAAAATTCTTCTGGCCGATCTAAGAAATAATGGACTCAGTGTTATACTACTGTAGAATCCTTATTAAATGCGCGAACTTTTAAAGCTGCTTGCCAAACTGGAGTAGTACATTTTTTTTTCAGGACGATCAGTTGAACTAGTGCGAAAAATTAATTTTGAAAACTTGGTACGGTATAAAATGACATTTTCCTACAAGTTGGAGTGATCGGCACAGGGTTTAGGATCATAGGTTACATAAAGCACTATTCGGGATGACGTAAGAGAAAAAAAATTGGCAAAAAGTAAATATTTGTAACAACAGGAATGAAAAAACTGTCACATGGTGTACATTTTCTGGAATAAAAGGAAAATTTCCATAACTTCAAAAATACATGACTTAATTTTTTTTTAATTTTTCTGATAACTGGTGTGGCATTACCTATGAGAAAATTTCGACTTGACGTCGACTTTTGGGACACCCTGTATAACATATTATATATAAGTTCCATGGGGGAAATTCCGATGATTTTACAGATCTGTCTATAACTTCTTGTTAACATTTGTTAACGTTTGGTCTTAAAAAAGTCGTAAAAAGAAAAATAACATATCTTGGAGTAGTACCTATTCGATATACAGATTACGATAATTTGTCTTATATAATATATATGCCAATTATTTCTCTTTTACAATATTTCGTTATTTTTATCTTATAAAAACGTTTTAACCTGGTCGTTTCACTCACTTCAATGTTTGTGAATACTTTTATAGGATAATGTCTACACAGGACGGTCATAAAGGGCATCACAGTCTATGGACACTATTTTAGTGGATGAGTTTCCGAGGAGTAAGCTCTCTTTTTAAATAATTGTAGGTCGTGTCTTCCATGTAAAACCTCCACTTCCAATTTAACAGTTCGATAGTTGTAGGAACATTTAGAACTTTTATTATTCATTATTTAAGATTTCATGTGGAACATGGTGCATGGTGCAACTCCTTACAAACATTGTGTAAAATAAAAAACTTGGCAATTAAAAAGAGTGAGTTTGCCAGTTCTTCTCGTCCGTTCTACGCCCTTGATTTTAGAACTGGCAGTAAATGTAAAATTAGAAGCATTTAATATAATATATATTTCTATATTGACGTCCATGCCTACATTATGTTATCTAAATGAAGAAATGAATTTGACTTTTTTTATAGTTTTATAATCTATGTTACTCTTCTCTCTCTATCTCACTCATCTCCATAACATGACGAACAATGTAAATAAGTATATTATAGAAATTACTACTATTATTTAAGTGTCGACTCGTTTTACAACGAATAATAGTTAACTGAAGATTATCCACGTAATTCTAAGGGTGCGTACAGACTATGTAACATGTTATATAACTTGTGTTTTATAACACGTCCACAGTATGTAACCTTGTTATTCAACATTATAACATAAAACAATACTGTACACATTAGAATAACAATGCAATATAACAATCTTATATAACCATTGTCGTTTGTCGTTCTCCAGTAGGGATGTGACATTCTGCATAAAAAATGGATTTTTATTAATCGATTAATAAATATGGCAACCAAGAGGCCATAAAAGAAACAGAGGTAGGCAATTTAAAAGGTGGGCCGATGAAATCATGGAAATGGCAGGAAAGACTAAAACCTAGACGAGATTGGTATACAATAAGGAAAAATGGAGGACAATGGGGGAGGCCTTTGCCCATAGGCACACAGAATCAGTTATCGTAGATTAAGAAAAATAACAGTTATAATGTATATATTTAGTATTTCTGATATAAGGCTGTAAATAAATAATAAATAATCGATTTTTTTATTAATCGATTTTTTCCTAATTTTTGAATTAATTTCAAAATAATCACCCTAAATATCTTATTTTTCATGGTTTTTTTTTACTGAAAAATAAACAATAGAAATTATAAACACAAATTAACGTTTAAGAATAATCAAAATTTAAATTAACTTAACCTCGTTTTGATAGATTTTAGGTGAAATTTGATAAATGCTTAGTTATGCCTTTTCAGTAGCAAATTGCAGTATTTTTGTTGTCTTTTTTATTGTATGTTATCTTGTGTTGCTGAATAAATTTATTTTACTTTTAAATTATAGTGTTCCATTCAAACTTGAGTCTTTGTACCTAAAATGAACTGGTTTTATCATCCTTTCAATGTTTTACAAAAAAACATCAATGCATCGAGTATATCAATACATCTTCAAAGAATCGTATTCAATGTATCGCATTCTAAACATCGATGTATATCAAATATCCGTAATAGTTCGAGGTCCGGGTTATAAAAGACCAAACATAATGTCGGGAGGTGGCAGTGGAAAAATCGACTATGATTTATTTTCAATTATATAAATAATCGATCAATAATCGATTATTTTAAATATAAAAATCACGTAAAAAAATCGATTTTAATAGATTTTTGAAGTTATACTTCTTTAGGCGCGTTATGAAAAATTTATGAGAATGAAATTTTACAATGCGCGCGCACCCGTGACACAAAATTAGGAGTGTGATTATAGCGTGCGCGAGCGAGATAGGAATAAGACAATCTACAAGTAAAAAGAAATAGAATATGCGTGAAGTTCGTATGCCAACAATTTTGAATGACCATAATGACATTTGTCATTTACCTTTTAAACAAATAAAGGAGTTTTAATTATTTTTTCAAAGAAATTTAGCGATGCTTTTTGAATTATAATCAGAAGTGATTTAAATTGAATATTTAAACCAATACTAATTAATATTTGTGAAAAAACTGTGCTCATCAACCTTCCTAAGTGCTTCAATACAATTTAGGTTAACTATCCGTATGTATTATTATTATTATCGAGTAATGTTTTGATTAAAAAATTAACCACATTGTTTAATCAAAACATGTAATTTTTCTGATTTTATCTAGTGTAACTGCACTAAATTGAATACAAAAAAAGAGTTTTCATCTTATCGCTGTGAAACATCAAAAACTGGAGGTGGAACAAAGCCAAACTATTTTTAATATTGCCAAAGAAGTATAACTTCTTACGCGCGTACATAAGTACACGGACCCTTTTTTTTTTAATAATCGATTATTTTTTCACATCCCTATTCTCCAGTGCTATCCACAATGTCGACACAAGAGGACGTTTTGCTGGCTGCGGCAGCGACTGTTGTCATTTTAAATAACAAAAGAAAAACAAAAAACCTAGATGCTGGGTTCATATCAATAACATAACAATATAACATTGTGGTACATATCAATAACTTGTTATTATAACATGTTTTATAACATTCAGTGTCCACATTATCTGAAATATGTTATATAGCAATGTTGTATAACATGTTATGTTATATAGTCTGTACGCACCGTAAGACGTACATGTAGCAGATGCATTTGTTTACTAATATCCAATACAATGCAAATCAAGCGCATGAATATCAATAAACTAGTACATGAAGTAACATAAGTTATATTAAATTTATTAGACATCGTGGCTTTGATCGAGTAAGTACAAACTTTATTTTATACAATAAATACGAGACTTCAAACAATCATTTTAGGTAGACAACTGGTGGACATAGTGCACGCATAGCTGGGTTCAATTTGTGTAAGTCTCCGGCTCCAAGTTTTCTTCAACCGCTGTCGCCGTATTCTGCGTATCTTCTGGCTCGAGATGATCTCTTACGAGCAACTCTGGGAACGCTGCCGAGAAACCCCGATTAGCCGGCAAATCAATCGACACAAGTGAAATGGATAAGCCACACATCCAGAACAGATTCCAATTATATCCCCAACCAGGTACTTGATTGGACGCAAGGAAAGCGTGGCCGGCCCAGTCAAACCTGGCGCTGTACATCTGCAAGATGAGGCAAAGAGACCCGGAAAACCTGGAGTGAGGTGAAGTACGAGGCTCAAGACTAAACGCCATGGAGACTCACTGCGCACGCTCTCTGCCCCATTTAGGGGTTATAGGATGCATAGCATGCCCCATTGGTATGTTTAATAAACATACTTCCAAATTTGCTACTTTCCAAGAACATGTATTATGATTTTGCGCTCGAACGACTTATTTGTAAGGTAATTTATGAATATGTTAAATTAATACATTACCCAGTTTATTCAAATACAATATTAATTAACATATATAGTAGACCGAGGCGAATCGGATCACTTTTTCTTTGAGGTTGAGTAAATCATACTAAAGTGTTATATAATGTTATTTTTATTGATAAAATCGTAAGAAGTAACAATTACCTATGAAATAAACATTTGAAAACTTAAATCATACATATATTCTCTTAATTAGCTATTAAAAACTAAAAAAAAAAGGAAAATATCCGAATCGCCCCAACCTTCGGGGTGAATCTGATCGTACACAACATATAACAAAATTTTAAGGTATAGTGTTAAATAACTTTGGAATCAGTAAATATATATAATAATAAGATCAATTTTAATTATTGGCATATAATTCACATATATATGGTCCTTTTTTTTGTAAGCTCGTACGGTACTAAAAAATCTTAGCAGCTTTACGTAAGGTCAACTCTTTGTTCTGGACTTTATTTACAGCTTCTTTCATTTTTTCTTGAGACCATTCTCCGGCGGTCATGAAATAAATATGAATCAATAACCTCAAACATGTAATAAATCAGTTTAAAAGTATCATCCAATTCGCCCCTAAGCATATGATCCGATTAGCCCCATAATTAAGACTTTTGAAATAAATATTTTAGACATTAACCTCTAACATTATACTTAAAAGCGAATTGGTTCTTTAATATAAACACCTTGCTTAACAATATAAACCAATGTAGTTGAATTTTAAGACAAATCCGTCATATGACATAAAGAAATCGTAAGTGCGTACCTTAGATGAGCGCGAAATTGCGACACACACAAAAAAACCGAGTGGCTGACGAGCGGCATTGCCACTGATCCACAAGCGCGATCGAAATACTGCTTATGTCGGGAGGTGCTCAGTAAATGGAGAGGCACAAAACGCCGGTTGAGTGCGTTCTATGTGAATGTGATATTTGAATTATCAACAGATTTCTTATTTTGATCCGATTCGCCCTGTGATCCGATTCGCCTCGGTCTACCTATCGATAAAACCGTTTTTTGTGTATCACAACTTAAATAACTCGAGTTCGTTTGTTTGATCAAAATATAATCAAGTGCATAACCAGTTTTTCATAATAAAGTTTCAAAGATTTTTTCTTAGAATTCCAATTACGTAGATATCTCAGACATGGAATAAAGTGGTACGTAAACTAAATATTGTGCCTCTGACGTTACATGGTAGCTATGCTGACTGGTGAGTACTGAGTATGCTATTTTCGCGCATACAAAGCCTTATATACCAGGGTAGAAGCCTTTAAAAATAATAAAAAGTAAAAAAATAATTGTAGGATGAAACCTACATTTTGAGGTTATGTGAAATAAGTGTAAATACAAAAGTTTTAGATCTTTTTATTATCTACAACTTTGCCTTTTTACTTTTTTCATGGTGTTTTCCAGTGGTTTTCATCCTACTGTTAATTTTTTTGGTTTAAAATTATCGACCCTGGTCTATTAGTCAACAACTGTGATAACAGACAAGAACAAAAAATGGACTGCATTTGGTGTAATTTAACAATAAGTATCTGCACTGCGTACATGCACTCAAAACCCATAAAAATAACATCTAAATCTAAGGTATTTTTTATGAATTTTCATCATTGTTGACACAAATAATGTTTTCAATAAAAGGTTGTAGACATATTATTATGTCACTTCACACACAGGTGTGCATTGACCTTTAAATAGTCCATCAATATATGACCAAGTTTGAATAAAACTGACTGGGCTCACAGAAGTACCGCCCAAATCAAACCCGGTTTGTTGTCCGAACCCTTTCTGTCTCAACACTACGAGTTTTCTTCCCATAGTTCAACCCATGGGGAGCCTATTCCTAAAGCCTCGATGGAAAGTAAGTTCTTTAACAATTTTCTAGTCTCCTGTGCTTATTGAAGTTCAAAATTTAAATTGTCCCTAAGAAATTTGAAGGTGCAAACAGAAACTACCCCGTGGGGGAACCGCATGAGCTCCCGCTGGAGTATGCTTCTCTGAGCGTCCTCCGGGACGCTTAGCACCCGGTGGTGGATGCACCGGCTGCCCTCCGTATTCTGGTGGGGGCAATTCTGCGCTCTTTGACCAACATAATTAAACTTTTGCCAATTGTTAAAAGGCCAGCAACGCACTGGCGAACATTCACGGTGAGTACCTATGGGCGGCGGTATCACTTAACATCAAATAAGCTTTCTGCCCGTTTGCCGCTTATTACATATAAAAAATTGTCATAAAAAATAATTTCTTTCCTGGATTGTCATTCAATGAAGCAAATAATTTGTAATAATTGGACCTACTGAGAATGTACTGACTAATAACCACATTTTCCTTAAGAAAAGCCGTGTAAACGCATTGTCACTTGATTAATCAAACGATTTAGCTCGACTAAATTACACCTTACAGACGAGTTTGTTACGCTTAAACAGAGAGATATATAGTGTCTTTATAATATTATGAAAAAAAATATATGAAAGGGAAGTAAAGAAAACAACTGTTATTAGATAATTAATTTTAGAATAAGTAATAGTAACAATTCCAAAGTAGAAATATATTAAATTTGCATTTTTGTATTTAATTATTTAATCTATTTAATCTAAATTATTGTTATTGAATAATTTATTTTCTCTTTTATCATTGTAATGTTTACTTTTAAATGTTGTGCGCACTTGTGTTTGATGCACATTCATGCATTTTGTGTTTATACGTCGTGTGTTATCTGTAGGTGAATGCATTTGTTTCGTTAATGTGCCTTTTTAAAAACAAATTAATTAATTTAAAACAAATTGCAGGAACTTGGATTGCATATTAATCTGCAATTTTCCTTTTGGTCAAAAGATACGAAACTAATATCCGAGAAATGTACTTAAAATAAAACAGAATAATACACATATGTGTAACATGAAAGTTATACATTTAATTTAACATCCTTATTATCCTCACAAGTAAAGCCGAGTTCAAAATGAGTTATATTGCTGATAGGTAAACAGGTATAATGGTAGTGACGTCTATAAATACCCAGTGTTAAGCCAGCCAGCTGCAAGACAACAGGAAAATGGTTGGGACAAAAGCGTTATCTTGTCTCCTCGGATATTTCATTTTATCTGCAGAATGCTATCAGAGCAAGGAGGTAAGTTATTCAATTAAACCGATAGATGCTTATAGTTTCAATAAATTTGAATTTTTATGTGTTAAACTTATTTTAAATCGAATGGAGTAGGGCCTGAATACTTTTATTTTTTAAATCTACTTGTTAACTTTATGGCGCCTCTTGTTTTTACGCTTAATGTTTCGTTTTTGACCTTGATTACTTAATTTCAATGTCTGATAGTTAATTGGTATTAGATAACATTGTATTAATTGTGTCCTTAGACACATTTTAAGAAAAATAAAATATTTTAAATTTGCCATAATATGCTTTCTGAATCTGTTTTAAAGTGATGACTATGTAGTATATTATGTAATGCGACAGCATACATTAAGCTGTTTAGTAAGACGGATAATAGAACAATTTCGTTAAAAGGATTTTGAACTATATTTGAAATAAATTAAATATGTAATAAATACGTTAAGTAATGTAAGTAAAAGTATATTTGAATGTTTTATATAACTTTTATTTATAAATTCCAGCAAAAGCCGCTGGTAACGGTGACTGAGGGCAAACTGAGAGGAACCGTAGAAAAAATCTACGATGGATCCTCTTACTTCAGTTTTAAAGGAGTTCCATACGCCGAGGCTCCAGTTGGAGCACACAGGTTTCAGGTATTTTAGGCAATTTTTAAACTATTTTTCAATCTTTTTTCTTGATTTGTTTAAGGGGTTACCCTGTTAAATCTTCGTTTTGAATCTTTTTATTAATTTGTCGTACTCATTTTTTAATACCTTTGCCCTTTTTATAGTCTCAACCATTACCGCCACGAAACTGGCCTGGAGTTCGCGATGCTTCGAAACATGGCCCAATATGTACTCAGTACGACTTTACTATCTCACAATATATAGAAGGCAGTGAGCAGTGTCTTTTCGTTAATGTGTATACCAAGTCTTTAAAACCACACGCCCAAATACCGGTGATGGTATTCATTCACGGGGGGATCCTACATGTCCGGATCTGGAAATTCTGATACATTCAGCCCAGATCTGCTTCTTGAACACAATGTTATATTGGTAACAATAAACTACAGATTGGAACTGTTAGGGTTCCTTGCGGTTGATTCACATGATGTTCCCGGAAGTGGTGGTATGAAAGACACAGTTGCAGCTCTTCGCTGGATCAAGAAAAATATTGCAAAATTTGGTGGAGATCCGGACAATATCACCATTTTCGGAGAAAGCTCTGGGGCATCTTCTGTAACTTACCTAATGATGTCACCGTCGGCACACGGACTCTTTAATAAAGTCATAGCTCAAAGTGGCACTTGCTTTGAAGACTGGGCTCAAGCGAGAGACATGAAAGAAAGGGCTTTCAGGGCTGCGAAGGTATTAGGCAAAGATGCCAAGAATGTTGGAGAGTTGTTGGACTTCCTTCGTAGTGTACCACCCCTTAATTTGACTAATCTTACTGAAAAAACGATGACTGAAGAAGAAAAGTATAGAGGCTTTCCTGAACAATTTGTTCCCGTTATTGAGAAAAAGTTAATAGGTGTCGAGCCCTTCCTTGATGAGGATCCTGTGCAGAAGGTCGTAAAAGGCAAAGTCAGTAAAATGCCTATAATGCTTGGATATAACTCTGGTGAAGGAATATCGACAATTTCTGATGAAATCAAGCGATTGGATGTAAAGAACAACAACGTTTCATTATTTGTACCGAGATCGATTGTTGAGATTGTTTCTAAAGAAAAGGCTTTAGAGTTTGGACGAAGAATTCAATCATTCTACGGTAGTATTACCAAAGACAATCCAGAAGTCATACGTGATGTTCTGACAGACGCCAATTTCGCATACAACACACACAGATTCGCATACTTGTACAGTAAATTGAATGCTCCCGTATATATGTACAGATTCAACTATGAAACTGATTTGAACATCATAAAGAAATATTCCTCATTCAAACATATACCTGGAGTAAGCCATGCTGATGATCTTTTCTATTTATTCTACAATAACTTGAACAAGGAGGCCTATGATAATCAACCTAAGTTGAGAGACATCGCTTATGAAGTTACCAAGCTATGGACTGATTTTGCGAAGTATGGGTAAGAATCTTTGACTTGTTTAGCTTGGTTACAATATTTTGATGCTATGAGCAATGATGACGCCATACTAACACTGATACGATATACATATTTTGTATTATTTCCTTATATCGTATTTTTTTCAGAAACCCTACACCAGATGGAAGCTTGGGGGTAGCCTGGCAGCCATACACGCCATCTGGCAAGGAATACTTCAACATCCAGGAGAAATATTCCAACGGTCAGTACGCTGACAAAGACCGCATTGAATTCTGGAACCAAATCTACAGGGAAGCTGGCTTGCCCTACATTGGACAGTGAATCAAGTTCTTGAAATAAAAGATTTTGTTAAACGAAACTAAGTTTTATTTTAAACTTTAAATTTTAAGCTTTACTTTAAACTCAAAATACACTAACTGTAAAAAATTAATAAAACAATTGTTTTAAGCGTTAACTGTTTATGTTAGACGTCGTGCGAAATTCAGTAGCACATAAATTTCTTCTTTAATGTTTGTTATTTAATTGCTGCGAGTCGCAATATCGCATTCAATGTTTGAAAGAAAAATTTACGAGATGACCAAACTAACAAAAAATCTAAATTAATTTAATTAAATGAGTTTAATAATTGTCGATAATTAATGACTCAAGAAATAAACAACGAAACAAGATGATCACATGTTGACCTATGTGAAATTTTACCCTTTGCTGAATCATAATATATAAGGAAGTAAACAAACACGTACATACCTACATCGATTCCGCCACTTGCTCATCGTAATTTATAAAGAATTAACAATTAATCACTTAATTTTTATCAGGAAGCTAAATTATAATAATACGCTTCGAATTTTTCAAGCTTTAAGCTCCTTTAAGCAACCCTGACAGAAAATGAGTTTCACTGTTTTTTTATATACAATTATGATTTTGACGTGGTATGGTTAGTAACCAAAACGTTTAGCCCGAAGGAAGAGTGTGTTTCGTTTGTAAAATTGTCGAAAAATATAAATATAGTGTCTGCCGTTAATTAATCGTTAATTTCAAACGAGTTTAAGACACCTCACAAATGACATGTCAAATCAAATAACAATATAAGTATTTCATATAGACACCATAATGTTCACTTTTAAAAAAAACCAGTGGCTCTAATCTTGGCCAATGATTTCTGAATCTGTTTCTTTGATAGGCAAGTAGTTTTGGGTCTATGACACGTCGGTTTCCTCACGAATTTTCACCGTGCGAGCGAGTGTTAAATGCGCACATAGACAGAATACCGTTGGTGCACAGCTGACATACGAACCTACGATCTTTGATTTAAAATTAAAAAGAAAGCATTTAAAAGCAAAAAAAGTGTAAACTAATATACCTATAGACCCATCACTTTCAAAACTATCTTTATGAATGCAGTTAGATTGAAACATATTTTTCCTCTTCATTCATTTTCTTGTAAAGAATGATAAAAACAAAGCCTTTTTAAATTGTAATATTCCTAGACTTAATGTATTCTATGCGTCAAGTGGGACGTCCCCACGAGCAAAAGTGATCTTTACTAATATAATAACGAGGAAAGACTTGTATTTTTGTATGCTGTATCATTAAATTCGAAAACTACTGAACATATTTCAATAATTATTTCACTACATTACATTACAAAGTAACATAGACTTTATTTATTTTTAAAATAATAAAAGTCCAGCCTGGCAAAGCTGTGAGAGGCTGTTAGTGTTTAAATTGCACAATGTATATATTTCTCCCTCAAAGCAAATTGAACCACTCACACAAAAATATCGCTAAAAACCTCTTACTCGTAGGGTAGAGTTCAGAGACACTATGTCAAAATCTAATACATTTTTGACATGTTTTGCGTTAATTCTTGGCTGTGAAAGCTTTGCTTTAAATCAGTGTTTCCCAAGCTTTTATATGCCATGCCCACCCTTAGCCTTTCTAAAATTCATATGCTATGTTACATACATAATAATTTTTAATATCAAAAATTGAATTGTTCACTTAAGAAACTTAATGATAGATTTAAGGACGAAAATTGTAAAACAAACACAGTAAGTAAATTTTCAAAACGTATAATGAAAAACGTAGTTTTTTGTATATATATTACATTAAATTTTATCTCTCAGAAAAATCAACTTCCATCCATAATTTCGACGACTTTTACACCATCGTTATTATCAGAATCATCATCGCAAATTTTTACAACTGATACAATTGGTTTATGATAACTGAAGTAAGAAACAAACAGTTTTGATTCGAACCTATTTAAGTGTCTAATAAAGACCGTACTCATTTGCTTTCACTACTTCATCATCACTTTTTTCATTAATAGATTCACTTTGTTCGATTTCCATAATTTAAACAATTCACATTTACGAATACACAACAGTGTATTTACTACACAACAGTCAAGCAATCAGCTGTCACCATCCTTGGATACGCGTGGGACGCTGTACATAAACACACACGGTCATTCGCGCAAGCGCCCTGTGCCGCCTAAACAGAGCAGCACACTCAGGCACGGTAGAAAGAGTGGGAGATACTAGTTCCTCTCCCTTCCCCTCGATCTTACGCTTTTTCGATCAGCATCACGTGACCCTGACGCAAGTTTGAAAGTTTTTACCCATACAAAAAGTGCTCAGCGCCGCTAAAGAAGTTTTCACTTCAAAAATACTCTGATATTGTGTGTGTGACACATACACAATACAAAAGAGATAATAATACACACGAGTTGTGTCATGGGATTTTCTATGTAAAAGTATGCTCCTCTGCTGAGGATAAACAGTAAAATATCGAAGAAAATCGAGGTAAGACGAATACATATAGTAGACCTTTTATAGTGCTCTACTCATTCTCAATGCAGCTTTTGTGTTAACAACAGGAAAATGGCCAATGTATTTACTAGTGGATTGATTTATTTTATCTTTGTTTTGAATTGTTATCAGTGTCGAGAAAATTATGTAAGTACCTAGGATATTTTACGCTTCGACGTTTATATGTGTCGATATTTAAAATTTATATTAAATATCGATAATTTAAAATTATGTTAAATAGTTGTAAATTTATAATAATACATAACTTCAATCCGGTCAAAATAGTGTTTTATTAAAAGTATTAGAATTGCTTTTGTTATCCGCTTTGCCTTTATAGTTACTGTTAGGCGAAATAGCAATGCAGTGGGGAAATAATGAGTTAGTAAACACAATTTAACCTAATCCTATCAAAGACACAGCCGAAATAAACTTTGTTTTAAATTTATAAAACTAACGTCGCCGTGAAAATATTTAGCAAAATTGCTAAATATCTTGATAGCTAAACTTTTTACGGAAAACAATGTTAGTATTGGGCAAAAATAATCCTCTCATCTCTCTACTCTATTGTTACTCACAGTTGTTTAAATAAATAATCAACATTAAAATAATATGTGTAGGTTCCGCCGTAAAAACCAAGTTAAGTAATAAAAAGTTAGAGTTTGTGGGTTTGTAGAAGAACTGATTTTGAATATCCTTTTATCAATAAAATACCTATGGCAGTGCTAAATTAATTCGAGAAATAACAAATGAAAATACGTTTTCGTGGTAGTCGGAATTCTAAAAATTTTGAAAATGTTTTAACGGACCTCTCTTTTATTAATTAAGTAATTAATTACAAAAGATTTGTCATCGATAGTACATTTTGAAGTCGGTTAATTATGGATTTTAAATATAATTCTTGTTGTTTCAGCAAGCGCCTATCGTTAGAGTAACGCAAGGCCTCCTAAGAGGTACTACACAAAGAATTTACTCAGGATCTTTGTACTACAGCTTTAAAGGCATACCGTATGCCGAAGCGCCTATTGCTAATGATAGGTTTAAGGTATGATGTTTACCTACTTAACAATGTTTACATATGTATTAATATTTAATATGTATGAGAAAGATTTGTGACTGGATTAATATAGGTACTGTTAAACGCAATGTAAGTAAGGAACTGTTGTTACCAGTTCTAGCGGGAGTTTCAGCATTAAAACTTAGTTTGGATCACCGTATTAATTATATTTATGAAACACAATACTTTTTTACATCCTAGCTAGCATCTACGTCTGTGAAAGTTCTCAACAGATCGGGGAGTAGGATTAAATTGAGAGTAGATTATAAATTTTAATTAATATAGTGATTTTTCAGGCGCCATTGCCCCCGCAAACATGGGAAGGAATTCGCGAGGCCGCTGAGCATGGACCAATATGCTCACAATTAAATATAACTCAGCCTGTGGGTAGCGAGCAGTGTCTGTTCCTAAATGTCTACACGAAATCTCTTGCACCTCCTACAAAGGTACCAGTTATGGTTTTTATACATGGTGGCTCCTTTATGTTCGGCTCCGGAAACTCAGACACGTTTTCCCCAGATTTACTCATTCAACATGACGTTATATTAGTCACCATAAATTATAGACAAGAACTACTCGGATTTCTATCTCTGGAAACACGTGAAGTTCCAGGCAATGCCGGTATGAGAGATCAAGTTATGGCTTTACGATGGATTAAAGAAAATATTGCGAAATTCGGTGGAGATCCTGACAATATCACCATATTTGGTGAAAGTTCTGGGGCCGCGTCGGTTACCTATCTTATTGTCTCGCCTATGGCTAAAGGATTATTTCACAAAGCAATAGCCCAAAGTGGTACTTGTATTGAAGACTGGGCTCAAGGTACAGATATGAAAGAAAGAGCTTTTAGAGCTGGCAAAGCATTAGGTAAAGACACTAATGATGTCAATGAATTATTGAAATACCTCAGAAGCTTACCAGCAGGTAACTTATCCAATCTACCTGATAGGACTATGACTGATGAAGAAAAATTGAGAGGTGTACCAGAAAGATTTGTTCCAGTTGTTGAGGAAATGTTTCCTGGTGTTATTCCCTTTCTTGATCAAGATGCAGCACAAGTATTGACACACGGTAATGCGAATGCAGTTCCGTTAATGCTGGGTTACAACTCAGGTGAAGGCATTTCGATTATTTCGTACGAAGTTCCAAGACTGGAAATCAAGAACAGAAATGTATCTCTCTTTGTACCCAGAGACATCGTAAAACGAGTATCTAGCCATAGAGTAAATGAAATTGGCGTAAAAATAAAAGAGTTTTACGTAGGTAAAGGAAATTTTAGTGAGAGAAATCCCGAGGCTATTCGCGACATGACAACAGATATTTATTTGGCCTACAATATACATAGATTTGCATCTTTATATAAAAATCGACAGATGCCTCTGTTCATGTACAAGTTTGATTTCGATACTGATTTAAATGTACTTAAAAATAAATTTAACGCAGCTTACAAGCACTTGAAAGGAGCAGCCCACGGAGATGAACTATTTTACATGTTTTATAATCATTTAAATAAGGAATTTTATGACAATCAGCCTAGATTGAGAGAAATATCTTACAAAATCACAAAACTTTGGACAAACTTTGCTAAAACTGGGTGAGTATCGGTAAATATTTATTTTATTACTACGATTAGCAAGTATTTGTTGTGATATTATTGAATTTAAGTATATAAATAAAACAAGACATTCTTAAATATTACCTCCTGATAGAAAATTTATGGCAATAATGTTATATAGCTACATATTTGTTAGAAATACGTAAGGCGTCTAATATTTTATATTTCTATTATTTATCATTCTAAAATATACGACAATTACGGTAAACATAACATAACATTTGCAAAAAATAATAAAAATTCCACAACAGAGAAGAAAAAATTAATTAAAGTAATTACTTATTTTAAAATACTTATTACACGAATAAAGTATCTGATCAGATATGATATTTGTTAGGGTAACAACGATTTTTTCATCAGCCCAATATCGAATATATCAAGCTTTGAATAGTAGCCTTGACTCTATTGTATTGGCGAAGAATTCAAATGAGAGGTCCCTGAGCTCCTAGTTTGTAGTAAACCTTAGTTTGTAGTTTACCTACCTTAATCTACATGACAATTGCTTGCTTAGTCTAATATTACATCTTATTAATATAAATATTATTCCAGAAATCCCACGCCAGATCAAAGCCTTGGAGTAAAATGGCCGGAATATACAATAACCGGAAAGGAATACTTGACATTAAAAGATCACTTTCCCATTGGAAATTATGCTGACGGATCTCACATGGAGTTCTGGAATGATTTTTACAAAGAAGCAGGCTTACCACACATACGCTGATATCGACCTACTAGGACGGATTTCATTCAATAAAATTAACATTTAAATTATGCATGGTCTTGCACTATTATTATTATCATAATATATTGTTTTATCTCAATAAATTATATCACGACAATGGGTAGACCATGTCGTACGGTATTCTACTGTGGGTTGCTGCTGCAGAGGTTCAATCCATATTTGTGCTGCAGAAGCGGGCTGTTCGGGGTATTTGTTGTCTTTCTCCGAGGGAGTCGGTACGGAATAAGTTTAAGGAATTAAATATTATGACACTATCTGGTCAATATATTTTTGAAGCCCAAAAAAATATAAACGATTTTAAAACAAATGACTTTCACCAGTATAATACGCGAAATAGAACTAATTTGAATGTACTATTGTAGTGTCGACCAACCAGGCTCCAAAAGATAAACCACTCCTTATATGGAAATTGTATTCGTTTTTACAACAAACTCCTAAGCGAAATAAGAGAATTATAACTAAATAAATTCAAAGCCCTCGTTAAACTGAAATTAATCAATAAAGCTTTTTATAAATTTGAGGAATACTTAAATGATCCTAATCCTTGGGATCGATTTGCTCTAGTTCAAACAATTTGTATTGGTCTAAGATCCCGATATACAACGACCTGCACCGAGATGCTTATTTAATGAAACTTATTTTATATTTAATTTAATATGTCAATAAATATAATCCATATGGGTTGCCTAGCAAATTTCAGTCCAGACTCCAGAGTATTTTAATTAATATTTAAAAAAAAATATTTTTTTAAACATTTCACCGGTATGATTATTAGATAAATTCTATACCAATCGAAAGTATGAAGCACATACAATATGCAAACGTTAGGTTGTTTTTAATCAATTAATTATTTATGTGACACTAAAGTATATATACATCTTTAGTAAAAAAGAAAGTTATAGTGATACATATATAATACTACCCTGATTAAAAATATTGATAGAAAAAAATTAAAAAATTTACTACATGCAAATTATAAATAAATTTTTTTTTATATATTAATTAAACATACTCTGGACTTAAATTTGCTAGGCAACCCATATGAATTATATTTATTGACATATTAAATTAAATATAAAATACGTTTCATTAAATAAGCATCTCGGTGAAGGTCGTTGTATATCGGGATCTTATACTATATGACAATTGAAAATACTTGGCGATTAAAACCAGTGGCGGAAAGTCTTGCCAGTTCTTCTTACCCGTTCTACGACCTTGACTTGCGAACTGGTAGTAAATGTAAATTTACAATTAATTTAACTTGACAATTCATAAGTGTACTTGTTTAGATGCATGAATAAAGATATTTTGAGTTCTAATTACCCATTGTTGCAATATAATTTAAAGTAATTCATAAAGTAAACTCAAGCAAAATTGTAAAATTTCAAGAAGAGAAAAAGTTGGTTATCTGATTATCTTTAACTAATAAGATTCCATTGTCGGACTTAAATGCAAATTAATAACATTTTCTATCTCTTTTCTTTTTTTACTATCATTTATCCTATAATTTATCTACAACAGTCTTTAATATAGGAGATGCAACGGGTAAGCTGTTAGTGTCGATAGCAATTGCAATAATAAAACAGATAAGAGATAAGATATTTTATTATAATTATAATAATAAAAATTATAATTTGTACCATCTGTTATTTAATTACATTCAATTAGTAGGTATATTCTTATATAAGCTCTTCGGCAAAAAAGAAATTGCAAAGGGAGTGGAAACGTATTCCTTACGACATCGAGGAAAACATGCCCAGAAAGAGTCCTTTTGGTCATTCTTTCAGACCATCTTCTATCTGTAAAACTGGCTATGCCTTGTGTGGTAGTGCCTGTTCATCGGTCTATTAATTTTGTTTTACCGCAGATATCTCTCTGTTAACTAGAAATAATGCAATGTTCGAAAATGCCTTGTGCACCCAGTGTTTTTAATAAAAATGTGTGTCATTTGGATTCATTTAAATATATGCTGATAACCACATCAGTGGCCTCCTAAGTGGTATCAACACATTTGAAATTTATTTGATCAGAAACTCGAAGGAGGTCATTCGATGAGTAATTTTTTTCATGTACCCAAACTACTCAAATGATTGAAGTGATAAAGTGACTTATTTATTACTCTTACTATAGTAACAATACAAAATTTACGGACCCTGGTGACGTTATCGTTATTAAAACCTATTAAAGCAAGGCAGAGTTTAATGAAAAAATTGCGTCGATCAATACTTGTTTTATGCACCTATTGATAATTGTATAAATATCATAGAACTCCAAGATCAACCTTTATTTATTATATTAAGTTTCATTCCATCTATAAGTGTGCAAACGGTGGGAAACATAAATAATGAAAAATACTAATAAACACAATCAATTTTTTCAATAACTGTACCTAGCTAGGAAATATTTAATGTATTTTTAGAAATAAAAAATGGTCACTTTATCGTTATATAGGTACATATTATTTATGAGCAGGGGGAAAACTAGGAGGGCTTACCTGATTTTAAGTAATATGATGGAAAATGGACATGGACTCTCTTAATGCCAGAGGGATCGCGAGCCCGGCTTTTTAGGAATGGGTTCAATTTTTGAAGTGAAACTTCTTTATCGAGGTTGGAAAAAAATTTAGTGTAACATTTTTTCGTTACGCGTCACGTTTTTCGGTTACGCGCCATGTTCCTTTTTGAAGTCAAACTTCTTTATCGGCGTTGGAAAAAAATTTACCGTCACATTATTTATTGAAGTGAAACTTCTTTATCAAGGTTGGAAAAAAATTTAGTGTAAAATTTTTTCGTTACGCGTCACATTTTTCGGTTACGCGCCATGTTGCTTTTTGAAGTCAAACTTCTTTATCGGCGTTGGAATGAAACTTCTTTATCGACGTATGGGAGAAATTTTGTAGCAAATCGTCACGTTTTTCAATGATAGTAATAATTCTATTACAATTAATGAAATTCTATAATAATCTTCGTAGTAATAAGGTAAAATGAAATATTTGTATTCATATCTATGATAGTAAAAGCCTTTTGTTAAACTTTATCTTATTTAACGAATTTCTGTAAAGTTGCATATAGTAGATCATTTTTCGAAAAATAAGATCATAAAGAAGTTTCACTTCTTACGTGTGTACACCTAGTACACGCACAATTTATTTTTGTAAATTCTTCATTGGGCTGCTATAGTTTCATATAGTGGCGGTGCGGGGAAAACAACTACCTTAAAAAAACGCTCATTTGTGGAACGACGGACGTCGAGGTGTTACGGGTGGTATTTCGTAGGTATTGTGCCTCAACCTCCGATGATGAAACTCAGCAGTATTAATTCAAACAACTCCTGTGAACACTCTCTTGCTCAAGAAATACCTGCATGGCAAAAATAGTATCACCTCCTGCTTTTTCCGACCGAAGAAGCAGGGTCGGGTATAGGTTACAGCCTTGTGGGACCCCAGCGTTCTCGCGTTTATTGTCGGAATATGCTCCGTCGGTGACGACCTTCCGCATAAAACGCGAGTATAATAAGAGGAACCTATTGCACCTCTTCACGCCGGTATTCCGTGAGACAGTGGTACTGCCCCGGTCATGACTTCCCATTTGGCTGAAGCCCTAAAGCAGCATGGCACTCCCACTAGGAAGGGGATGACTGATTGCATTTGACTTTAATTTATGGCTTCAGATTTTTTTTCTTCGGAAATGTGTGTTTCATAGTTGTAGTATGAGGTAGTATTTCACAAGGGAAACGAATCTAAACATTTGTCTGCAATAATTATATTTCAGTAAAATATTACAAATAAAATTTTAACTGTAACATTAAAACTATTTTTTTTGAATATAGTTTAATTATAATTATGCTTTGATAGACGAACCCGTAATCGTACTTTTAAAAATACCAAGTCTTTTAAAAATAAGTTCACCATCAATAATAACAAAAAGAGGATTTTGATCTTTCTCGTTAAGCATCTTATTTCTTTTGTTTTTCCATCGCTTGTTACCCATTGCATCCCTAATAATTGATGTTATTTGTTTTTATTTGTAAGTTATAATAAATAAATATCATTATTAAAAATTCAAATCACAAAATAATAACGGATAACTTTGAGTAAGTACACGTGGGTAATTAATAGTTGCAGATATAATTATATCTGCAACAGCTCACGCAATTCTTCGTCACTCAGTTTAACGAGCTTAGTTGATTGTTCCCATAATTTCTTAATGCTTGTTACATTGCTTGCTTTTGAGGCTGGAGCAATTTTCTTACAATTTTTATAGTACTCTCCACTGCGTTTGACTGACTCATCTACGCCTAGATAAATTGCTGTCTGCGCCCCCTGAAACGCTGTGTTAGCAAAAATAAGAACCAAAGTAAATGCTAGGAAGCCGAGAAATTCGCTCGCTCTTTTGTATATTCTTGTCGCAGCATAGCCCGGGTCGGAACAGTTCACCACCACGTTCGTACCTGATAATCTTCTGGTCAACTCTTTCGAGAAGAATACTAAACATAGTTTGCTATTACTGTATGTTCTTAGTGTACACCAGTACCCGACTCTGTTATAATTGTCAACATCCGAACTTGCGTATCTATGAGCGAGAGATGACATATTGACAATTCTCGCTGGATCTGATTTGGTCCCAGTTTTCTTTAGAAGGGGCAGTAGAAGTAGTGTGAGTAGAAAATGGCCATAATAATTGACTTGCATAATAAAATTGAGGCCATCTTTGGTTAAAAAATCTCCAGGTATTCCAACCCCCGCGTTGTTCACTAAAATGTCCAAACGATTTTCTGTTTTCTTAAATTCCATAGCGAATTCACGAACGGAGGTTAGGGACGATAAATCAAGGTGTTTAAAGATAACATTTTCATTACCAGATTCCTCGATGATTTCTTTTCTTGCATTTGTGCCTTCTTCTTCAAAAGGGCAAGCGACTATAACCTTTGCGCCCCGTTTGGCAAAATCTTTGGCTATAACCAGTCCTAAACCAGAGGTACCTCCAGTAACCAAGGCAGTTTTGCCTTCCAATCGTCTATTAGATGAGCACACTGTAATATTAACTTTATGATAAACACTAAAAGCTATTAAAGCCACTATTATTAAAATAATTATATATAACATTTTTAATCACACCTACTAAAATATGATAGATAATATCTATAAGTTGCACGAAACGACAGATACGACCGTCGAAGTTGAAATACTGCAGAACATAGATTGTGATTTGTTATTATTAAAGAGGTGACGTTATACCTTATTTGGGTATATAAAGATAAACCAGTTGAATTATTGTAGTTTTTACGATTTGTATCTAATAAATGTCTGTCTGAACTTCTGACTACAGTTCTAGTTTAAATCCCATTTAATATGTATAAATAGCCATTGTCTGTTACTAAAATATGACCTTTATACCGTAAACTGTTAAATCATACATAATTCGGGGTCACGGTCTGCGTTATATGTTTTAACTAGTTTCTACTCTAGAATTAATTGCTGTGCATATTTTTTAATAATAAAACGGTATACACGAATCCGTGGTTTAACCAGGCGTATTACTCGGAGGTATACGATTTGATTCCCGGTGAAACAATTACTGTATCGGGTTGGTGTAGGTCTGGTAACTGAAATTATCAATGATAAAGAGTGTCTGTTATGCCCAAAGGAAAACAAATCTAATTTATAGTTGTTATATTAAATTTATGGGCCAAGGGAAAGAATCGAAGCGTTAGCAGGAATCAGAGTGGAGAAAAAAGCCATTGACATATATTTGAAGAGAAGAGACAGATATCTGGAGGAGGCCTTTACCCGTAAAGTGGTTCCGATCATTGGTACTGAAGGAAGCTAGGATTTTAGGATTATAAGATAAAACTATATTATAACAAATGGCTGCGCGTAGACTGCGATGACCATCCGCGATTCTACGCATGCCTGTATAGGTCCCATAGCGGAAATACCGAAACTGACCGACTCATTGAGCACATCCAAATGGCTACAGATTCCCTGCTCGAAAGGGTTCCTACCGCTGAAATCGTGATACTTGGCGATTTTAACGCCCACCATGCCGATTGGCTCGGCTCTGAAACCACCGATCACGCGGGAAGATCCTTTCACGACTTTGCTTTAGCCTACGACCTGACACAAATGGTCCCTGCGATTACGCGAATACCAGATGTGGATGGTCATAAACCCTCTTTGTTGGACCTTCTGCTGACTTCTCATCCGGAGAACTATCAAGTCTCTGTTGACCCGCCATTGGGTTCATCAGATCATTGTGTGGTCCGGAGTACTGTGCCATCTACGCGCCCTTCACGGCCCCGCTTTATGGGTTGTCGCCGTATTTGGCACTATAAGTCAGCAGATTGGGACGGGATGCGGTCTTTCTTTGCGTCCTACCCTTGGGGGCCTATGTGCTTTTCGCCGGAAGCTCCAGATTCCGTCGCCGCCTCTGTCGCCGAAGTGGTTCTGCAGGGCATGGAACTCTTTATTCCATTTTCTGCGGTGCCGATCGGTGGCAAGTCTCAGCCCTGGTTTAAACGTTCTTGCAAGGCGGCCTCGCGTCGAAAGCGAGAATGCTTTAAGGCATGGGCGGAAGTGGCGAAATCTCGTGATGCCAATACCAGCGAACTTAAAAAAGCATATAACTCAGCCTCCAGGTCCTTCAAACGGGAAATCACTAAGGCAAAGTCAGAGCACATTGCCAGATTTGGCGAGAGATTGGCCCAACTCCCATCAGGGACTCGAGCCTTCTGGTCTCTCGCCAAAGCTGTCCAAGGGAATTTTTGTCAGCCCGCCATTCCGCCACTGCACAGGGAGGATGACTCTCTGGCCCACACTGCGAAGGAGAAGGCTGACCTTTTGGGCTGTCTCTTCGCGTCTAACTCGACTTTGGATGACCGAGGGAGATCACCACCGACCATTTCGCGGTGTGATTCTTCGATGCCGGAAATCACATTCCGGCAACGTGCTGTCCGCAAAGCACTATCTTCCTTGGACATTCATAAGTCGAGCGGGCCGGATGGTATCCCCCAATTGTGCTGCGTACTTGTGCTCCTGAGTTGGCTCCGGTCTTAACGCGCCTTTTCCGGTACCTGTACTCGCTCGGCACTGTCCCGAAGTGCTGGAAGACCGCTTTGATACATCCGATCCCTAAAAAAGGCGATCGCTCTGATCCGTCCAACTATCGCCCAATAGCTATAACCTCCTTGTTCTCCAAAATAATGGAATCCATTGTTAATTGCCAGCTCTTGAGGTATCTAGAGGGCCACCAGCTGATTAGCGATTATCAGTACGGCTTTCGTCGTGGTCGTTCGGCTGGTGACCTTCTTGTATACCTTACACATAGATGGGCAGAGGCAATTGAGTCCAAGGGGGAGGCGCTAGCGGTTAGTTTGGACATAGCGAAAGCCTTCGATCGGGTGTGGCACAGAGCACTGCTCTCGAAGCTTCCAGCCTATGGGCTTCCCGAGAAATTACGCAATTGGATCTCCAGCTTTCTGGCCGATCGGAGCATCAAGGTCGTCATCGACGGAGCATGTTCCGACCTAAAACCCGTAAACGCTGGGGTCCCACAAGGCTGTGTTCTATCCCCGACCCTATTTCTTCTGCATATCAATGATATGTTGAAACTTAGCAACATTCATTGCTATGCGGATGACAGTACTGGGGATACTTTTTACACTGGCCGGGCAGGTATTTCTCGGGCAGTTGTTGATGAGTACCGGAACAAACTTGTGTCTGAAGTTGAAACTCTACTTCGTGGAGTCTCAGATTGGGGCAGACAAAACCTAGTCCAATTTAACCCCAAGAAGACACAAGTTTGCGCGTTTTCCGCTAAAAAAACACCCTTTGTCGCTACTCCTCTTTTCGAAAACACTCTTCTTAAAGCCACAGCCAGCATTGGAATACTTGGCGTTGACATATCGAGCGACGTTTAGTTTCGCGGTCACTTGGAGGGAAAGGCTAAATTAGCCTCCAAAAAGCTTGGTGTGCTCAGCAAGGCGAGACGGTACTTCACTCCGGGCCACCGCATGCAACTATATAAAGCGCAAATTCGGCCCCACATGGAGTACTGCTCTCACCTCTGGGCGGGGGCTCCCCAGTACCAGCTCCTTCCACTTGACCGTATACAACGCAGAGCGGTTCGAATCGTTGACGACCAATCCCTCTCCGAGCGGCTTGATCCTTTGGCGTTGCGTAGAGATGTGGGGTCACTCTGCATCTTCTACCGCATTTACCATGGAGAGTGTTCAGAGGAGTTGTTCGGATTAATACCTGCAGCTGAGTTTCATCATCGGACGTCGAGGCAGAATACGAAATTCCACCCGTATCACCTCGGCGTCCGACGTTCCACAACTGAGCGTTTCTCAAGGCAGTTTTTGCCGCGCACCACCACTATGTGGAACCAGCTGCCCACTGAAGTATTCCCGAACCAATTCGACTTAGGGTCCTTCAAGAAAAGAGCGTACCAATTTTTAAAAGGCCGGCAACGCACTCGCGAGCCCTCTGGCATTGAGAGTGTCCATGGGCGGCGGTATCACTTAACATCAGGTGAGCCTCCTGCCCGTTTGCCCCCGTTCTATATAAAAAAAAAAAAAATATCTAAGCTGTAAATTATTCTTTTGTAATGATTGGAAATTAAACAGGCTTTTATTATTTTTATTTATTTAAAGAAATATCTAGTAAATAGTTTTTTTTATAAAACTGGGGCAAACGGGCCGGAACATAATTAATAAATAAATCGATATTTTTTTAATAGTAGGTATAGAGATTAAAACAAATCAATAAATATAACATTTTATTTACAAAAATGTATAAAATAAATAATTTGTATTATGACTTAGAATGTAACGTACACTATATAAAACTAATAAACTATATTTTTTGCTTATAAGCCAATGTCAAGATTGTATAGGTTACACAATTTTTTCCATTTTGAAGTTCTGAGGTCTTTTGTATTCTTCAAGTATTCGCAAACACAGACTTAAATTATACATTTTCAAGATCATATGAAACACATGTTCTTAGTAATAATTGTTCGAACAACAGAATCAATACAACTTTGTGATATTTTAAGTTTGCGTAAGTATTGTTTAAAGTCTGAAGACTTTTAAAGCTTCGTTTATGATTTTGATTTTACTAAAGTAAGTTTGATTTTAGTAAAGGAATCACATGAAAAAAAAACAGTGGCGCTACAGCCTTTTTAGATCTGGGCCACAGATTTCTGTATCTGTTTCACGATCTAATAGGCATGTGATCAGCCTTCTGTGTCAAAACGCCGTCGACTTTTTGGGTCTAAGGCAAGCCGGTTTCGTCACGTTTTCCTTCAACGTTTGAGTATAAATGCGCACATAAACAGAAAGTCCATTGGTGCACAGCCGGGGATCGAACCTACCTCCTTCCCTCCTTTGGTTTTATTCCCTATGGAGTAGATACTTGGGCCATGGGGTTCAAGTGCACAGGCGATAATTTTTCGCCTGGTGGAACGAATAAGTTACAATACAGCGAGGAAATGCTAATTTAAAAAAATATTTTAAATTTCTATTTATCCTATATTGTTATTACTATGAAGGTTAAGTAGGTACATTGTAACTACTGTATATTTGTAGGTAGGTCATGAATAAAATATAATTTGAATTGAATGACCTCAGTATCAAGGAAAGCAGCTGCTATGTAATGACATATACAATATTCAGTCAGATATCACATTATTTGTACACACTTGATAACCTTTTGATTAATATGGAAGAAAATATTTAATGATTCATTAAAAATAACTCAATCAGCAGGGTTACCCTGTAACTTCGGTTGCAAAATTTAGTTTCATACAACGTAATATTAAGACTTTTTGAAAAAAAAACGTGGGGCGCTCGGGGACTGCCGCGGTAAAGCTTTTGCATAGCATTTTTTAGCAACTTATGCAGTTATTATTATTTATTTATTTTTTATTTATGCAGTATTTGTTTTTCTTTGATATTTTTTCAATCTACTACTCTACCAGACTCAGACTAAAACGCCTATATAGTCTGTCTCACTCTTACGCGTACCGGCTGCACCGGCCGCGCTCAAGCTACGTCACCGATCTCGTCAGAGAGATGGGAATGCGCAGTATGCGTTCTGTCCCA